TCGGGCTAATTTTTCTACATACAGTCTGTTAAAAGAAAGTATTGTTAAGCGTATTGGTGGATAAGAACAGCTGAACATGGTGAGTCGGGTTATTAACGAAAGAGAGAGTCGATGAAGAGAATCGATCAATGTAGATTGGTCTATTTGAAAAGTGACGCGAGAATTGCTAGGTGAACAAAAACATTTTTTTTTTTTTTTTTTTTTAACTCTTTATTTGTTCCAAATTCAAAATAAATTACATTTCAGTTTTTAACCTAGGTGCTCCAGTTACTACAGTAACTTACCAGCCTTAATTGTTATGATATATATCTCAGTGTTTTTACATTGTTCCTGTCTTGGCAATTCAGTATTTTAAACAGGTTTTTTAAACCTGCATGTCAGTATAACAATTGATAGCTTAAAACTAAATAACTAAAACTAAATCTTATCTAAGTATAAAGGGAATTAATCGTTGCAATTGAGGATTGTAACGATTTTTGCCGGAAATTATTAATTATTTTGTTGGACATTTGTGCTAAAGTCTCAACATTCGAAATTCTATGTACTTCGGTAGTACTGTACCAGGGAGGCAACTTCAAAATAATCTTCAGAATTTTGTTCTGAATCCTTTGAAGTGCTTTTTTCCTGGTAGTGCAACAACTAGACCATATTGGCACAGCGTAAAGCATGGCCGGTCTAAAAACTTGTTTAAATATTAGAAGTTTATTCGTCAGGCAAAGTTTGGATTTCCTGTTTATAAGAGGATACAAACATTTTATATATTTGTTACATTTGGCTTGAATGCCCTCAATGTGATCTTTAAAAGTTAATTTATGGTCAAGTATTAATCCAAGATATTTCACTTGGTTTGACCAGGAAATTGGAACTCCGTTCATAGTGACTATGTGACTACTACTAGGTTTCAAAAAGGAAGCCCTGGGCTTATGTGGAAATATTATAAGTTGAGTTTTGGAAGCGTTGGGAGAAATCTTCCATTTTTGTAAATAAGAAGAGAAAATATCTAAACTTTTCTGAAGTCTGCTGCAAATAACACGAAGACTTCTTCCTTTAGCGGAAATGCCTGTGTCATCAGCGAACAAAGATTTGTGGCAACCCTGAGGCAAATCAGGGAGGTCCGAAGTGAAAATGTTATACAATATAGGCCCAAGAATGCTACCCTGAGGAACTCCTGCCCTAACAGGTAGTCGTTCAGATTTGGAATTTTGATAATTTACCTGCAGAGTTCTGTCAGTTAAATAATTTTGAACTAATTTCATAATATAAAGTGGAAAATTAAACTTTTTCAATTTAGCAATCAAACCTTCATGCCAAACACTGTCGAATGCTTTTTCTATGTCTAGAAGAGCAACTCCAGTTGAGTGGCCTTCAGATTTGTTTGAACGAATTAAATTGTTAACTCTTAAGAGTTGATGAGTAGTTGAATGCCCATGGCGAAATCCAAACTGCTCATCTGCAAAAATTGAGTTCGTATTGATGTGAAGCATCATTCTATTCAAAATTATTTTTTCAAAAAGTTTACTTATTGAAGAAAGCAAACTTATTGGACGGTAGCTAGAAGCTTCAGCTGGATTTTTATCCGGCTTCAAATTTGGAACAACTTTTGCATTTTTCCATTTATCAGGAAAGTATGCCAAATGGAAACATCTGTTAAATAATTTTACCAGGAAAGACAAGGTACTCTCTGGGAGTTTTTTGATGAGGATATAGAAAATTCCATCATCACCTGGAGCTTTCATATTTTGAAACTTTTTAGTTATAGACCTTACTTCGTCCAAATCAGTCCCCCAGGAATCATCAAAAATATTTTCCCGAGAGAAAATATTCCGAAAATCCCGAGCAACCTGATTCTCAATAGGACTAGTAAGACCCAAACTGAAATTATGGGAACTCTCGAATTGCTTAGCAAGTTTCTGAGCTTTTTCCAAATTTGTGATCAAAATTTTACCACCTTCTTTAAGCGCTGGAATAGGCTTTTGAGGTTTTTTCAAAATTTTTGTGAGTTTCCAAAAGGGTTTGGAACTCGGGTCTAATTTAGAAATATTATTTTCAAAAGTTTTGTTCCTCAGGGCAGAGAACCGCTTTTTAATTTGTTTTTGCAAATCCCGCCAGATAACTTTCATGGCAGGATCGCGTGTTCTTTGAAATTGTCTCCTACGGACATTTTTAAGACGGATCAAGAGCTGAAGATCATCGTCTATTATAATTGAATCGAATTTAACCTCGCATTTTGGTACTGAGGCAGCTCTTGCTTCAACTATAGAAGTAGTCAGAGATTCAAGAGCATAATTAATTTCATCTTTGGTTTGCAAAGGAATGTTTGGATCGAAGTTATATTCCATAAATGTTCGATATTGCTCCCAATCAGTCCTATGGTAATTGAAAGTAAAGCTGTTGGGATTAGAAATTATTTCTTGGGATATTTCAAAAGTTACTGGAAGGTGATCAGAACCGAAGTCAGCATGGGTAACCAATTGGCTACAAAGATGACATGAATCAGTTAAGACCAAATCAATAGTTGAGGGATTTCTTGCAGAAGAAAAGCATGTTGGGCTGTTTGGATATTGAATAGTGTAATAACCTGCAGAACAATCATCAAACAGAATATTACCATTGGAATTGCTTTGAGCATTATTCCATGAGCGGTGTTTTGCATTAAAATCACCAATAATGAAGAATTTAGACCTATGACGGGTAAGTTTCTGGAGGTCACCCTTGAGAAAATTCTTTTGCTGGCCTACGCATTGGAATGGCAAATAGGCAGCTATAAACGTAAGTTGTCCAAATTTTGTTTCAACAGAAACTCCCAAAGTTTCAAAAACTTTGGTTTCAAATGAAGAAAGAATTTTATGCTTGATTCGTCTATGAATAATGATGGCAACGCCACCACAGGGTCCATCAAGACGATCATTTCTATAAATCAAGTAATTTGCGTCCTTCTTAACCTTATGGTCAGGTTTAAGGAACGTTTCAGTTATAACGGCAATATGCACGTTATGAACTCTCAAAAAATTAAATAGCTCGTCTTCATTATCTTTAAGAGATCGAGCATTCCAATTTAAAATGTTTAATGCTTTAAAATCCATTACTGAATTTTAAAGTCATGACAATATTATTAGCAAATTTTACTCCAGTTTGAATAGCATCAAACATGGAGTTAGATTTAAGCATATCAGAAATCATGTCAATTAATGAATTCTGTAAAAATTCCATTTTAGGAGCAGTAATGCTTCCTAAGTCAAAATTGTCAAAATTTCCGTTAGAACGTTGGTTAGTATTTTGATTTCTACCCGCTGCAATAGCAGCATAGGTAGCTCCATTAACTCGCTGAACATTGTTAGCAGCGAGGGGAGTAGGTACAGATGAAACATTTGAAGCAGGGGTGATATTTGTACCTACGGGTACGAATGTAGAATTTGTTCCTCGCTGACCGTTGTTAACAGCAGAGGAATTTATACCTGGTCGGAAACGTGGAGCGTTTCCTACCTGTCGGTTAGAACGAGATTGTAGGATCGCTTTGCGAGTCTTACATTCCCAAAAATTGGATTTGTGGTTTTCACCACAATTTGAACATTTAAATTTCTTAGGATCTTCCTTCACAGGACAGTCGTCCTTTGCGTGAGAGGAATCACCACAATTCATGCATTTAGCTGGCATGTAGCAAATTTTAGTTCCGTGACCCCATCCCTGGCACTTACGGCACTGAGTGAGGTTTTGAAAATTTCCTCCAGTCTTCCTGAAGTGTTCCCACTTCACTCGGACATGGAGCATAAGGCTAGCTTTTTCTAAGGCCTTAAGGTTGTTTAGTTCACTAGACTTGAAGTGAACTAAATAAAAATCATTAGAAATCCCGTTGCGCGAATCGCCAGGACGGGATTTCATTTTCATTTTGATTACTTGGAGTGGCACAACTCCAAGTAATTTTGCCAGTTCATCTTTGATCTGATCCAGGGATTCACCACTGGGCAGTCCTTTCATGACAACCTTGAACACACGTTCAGTTTTGGTGTCGTAAGTAAAAAATTTGTGCTTCTTCTCAGTAAGATACTTGAGAAGACATTTAAATCCGTCCAAGGTTTCAGCCAATACACGGCATTCACCCCGACGTCCAATTTGTAGTGAAAACTTAACTTTCACGAAATTCAAAAGTTCCATGCGAAGAGCATGGAAATCGGTAGTGGTTATCACAATAGGGGGAATCTTTTCCTTCTTGGCATTAAGCCGGGAAAGTTTACTAGAATTTTTCTTGGATGATGGATCATTCTCATCATCCGTGAGCAAATCAAATTGATTACTCAAATTAATTTCTTCAGAAGGGGGGTCAAGAGTTTGCCCCTTTCTTTTGCGTTTAGGCGCCATGGCGGCAGTAAATTTTTTATCCAAATCGACTTCCAAGCAGATTACTATAAGAATCTGAAGGATCGAAGAGGAATTTTCCAAATCGATATCCAAGAAGGATTACCTCGGGTAGGGTCCAAACAAGGATCGAAGAGGAATAAGAGGAGTTGAACAAGGTAGAAAATTTTTACAGGTTGAGCACTGAAAAGTGCTGTTTAAATTTGTTGTAGCTTTAGGTAGTAGTAACACTTCCTTAAGCAAAAAGCAAATAGATCCGCACGGCAAGAGAGCACGATGCGGACTGAGAACAAAAACATTGGTTTTCCCATAGTAATTTCCATATAATTAATTAGGACTCAATTTGGAACCGTTTGAAAACGGTGGAGCGAAAATTTCAAATTTTGCAATTTTGCAATGACCATGTTGCCCCTTTTCCCCTACACATTTGCAAATGTTTTTACAATAACCATTCAAATCAAAACAAACCCTTATAAGGAATGTACATGGAAAAATAATCAATATTCCGAACAAGGAGGGAGTCATGTGTAAATTTTCCCGGAGCGCATCTCTAGGACATCTGAAAAACGTTCTTCAATCGTCCGTCCAATAAATCACATCGAGATAGCAGTGAATGACGAATAGCATAAAACAGTCGAACGACTTACCTTGCAGATTGGTCACCCGGCAGGGCAGCGTAACCGTACTGTTCATCTCCGTTTCGATGGTGTGGTTCTTGGTCAGCAGCATCGTCGTCAGCCCGCCGCCCCCATTGACGTCGTTATCGCCATGCTCCTTCGACGGTTCCTCCTCGTCATCGTATTCGTAGTCTTCTTCTTCCGTTGTGCCACCTCGCCGTTCCTTCGAGAGGCTACTGCTGGCCGGATGCGGGGAAGCTGTGGGTGGGATGGAAAAGGAAAATCTAAATTAGTTGCGCTCGTCAAGATTGCGGATGAACCAAAACGTTGCGGGTTCTGGAAGTTGTATAATTTCGGTTTGAGAGTTGCTTTTAGACGTCACATATATTGGCAGCTCGAGATACGGTACGTTTGTAGCTCGTTCGTCTCCGGCAGAGCGGAACGAAGCACACATGAACAACGCTTTTCAGAAGTTGAAATCTTGACTAATTAATCTTTTTTTATGCCTACATACTGGTTTTTTTTGCAAAACAGATGTCTGTTTAGTGCAGAACAAGGTTAAACGACATGGTTGTAGTTTCAATCATATATAGTAGAAGGAATAATCCATGGATCCGGCGATAACATTACAAAGTCGCCTTGGATTACAGTCGAGTTGAACCCAGTCCGTTATGGACGATTTCATGTGATTTAGTCACGTTATACACCGAAAGGACCAATCCCTAAAGAGTGTCGTAAACCGCGCGTTACATTTACCTTCATAATATTCCATCGCCGTCGCCAGTCGGGGTCAGTCCGTCTGGTAGGCCCATCTATTTTCGGTACCTTCGTATATTTGTATGTACACCCTACTTATTTCCTTATTAGTCATCGGCGACCGCTCTTATATGCCCACTGTGGATGGGGAAATGCACTCCCCCGAAATCAGAGGGTTGGGAAACCTTGCAATCGCTTCAACGAGAATTGAGGGACGCTTTAAAACATGAATGGAGGCATTCCAAGGGTAACCGCAAAATTGTTCAATTTCTTCCCCCTGGTGGTGCAGCCTAGTGAAGTGCGCTAAATTCGATTATTCTATACCTATATTATGTGCAAATAGGCAGGTACTTGAAAGGTTTAGAAAGGACCACCGAAAGGTCAACTTTTATGTATTCTTTTCGATTTTTCATTTTGCTAGAACTCATACCTACTCTGATTTTTTTTTTGCAGGTCGAAAGTACGAAGTGGACGGCTGAATGTTGGTACTGGGAAAGAAGATGCGGAATGTGTCCGAAAATTATTACTATGTATTTATGTGCAGGTAAATCAAGCCAAACAATGCTAATAGGCTAGAGGAAGAGGTTCGTTTAACCCATTAACGCCCAGTGATCTATTTATATATTCTTTACATTTTTGATTACTGGCCAGAAACTTGTGCTCAAAATTATATATTGTATTTATATTATTTATTATATTCAAAATTATATAACAGTCTTCTTCTTCTTATTCATTCCTTTACTTAAAGTCGGTCTCTGTTCCGCAATCTAGTGCCAATCACCGACGGACATCGATTGTCATCCATTGACGCACCCATTCAAACACACATGGGCCGGGACCAACGGCCCAAGTAACATTGCAAGCTTTATAGAGGTTTTATAGCATTCTACAAGTCTAAATCATGGTCTACAGAACCCTCATAAAACCAAAATTGTTACTTGGGCGGCTTTACTTCGCTTTCCGAAGGGACCTCCGTGACCAGAGATTTTTATGCCTCAGAAAAATCCCACCGACCTCGGCTGGGATTGAACCCAGACCTGTTTGGGTGTTGAAAAGCAGTCACAAAACAATCTAAAAACATTCTAACTCGCTCGACAACATAATGTTATTGTTTTGTTCTTTCTGTTGCTTCACACTAGTGGCAGCTATGTAGATGCCGTCGGTGAGGCCTGCGATAAAGATAGGGCAACCGGCAGTCTTGCCAAATCCGTTTTCGTTGTCTGCAACATCTCCCCTCTGAATAGAGCTGGAAGGGGTCAAACCATCGAGGCTGCCTTCGAAGACGAGAAGAGCGCAGAGGTAGAACTTCTACCGGTTCGGTTTCAGCTGCTAACTCGAACTCAGTTGATGTTGCTGTCGTAGAAGACATCGATGTACTCGTAGTCGCTGGTGAACCACATCTCGGTGACGGCGGCAATGATTGAGGTGTCATCGGATTTGTAGTTGATGCTGAGCTAGAGACTTGCGATGATGATGATTGGACGGGCTCGTCCAGTGCAAGCGACGACGGTGATTGAGGTAGGTTCCAGGCAGACATCAGGACGTTCAACTGAAATGAACTGTGTGAGCTCACGGCTTGTCTAACTGCTAACTTGGCATTCGAGCTATTGGAATTTCAACTGCGCAACTGGTTGACGTGCGAGCGCAGCATCCGAGCATCGGTCCACACGTTATACATTACGTTGCTGATTCGCTCGAGAACTATGCCAGGTACCCATTTCCAGGTGTTTTTGGTGTGGACCTTGGCGTAGACAGCATCGTCGGGGTTGAACGATCGTCGCTTCTGTTCTTTCTGCTCTTCTGGAACTGCCATTCGGATTTTACGGCCGAACAGAGCCTCTGACGGGGTCTTGTTTTCTGGTACAGAGTGATTTGGCGTGCTCCTGTACGTGAGCAGAAACGTATCGATTGCTTAATCCATTGTTCCTCTCCCCTCTCGGATCTTCTTGATAGCTATTTTGAATGTATCCACGAAACGCTCTGCTTGTCCGTTTGATTGTGGATGAAACGGGGCTGTCGTGAGGTGCTCGATGCCGTTCGTAAGACAGAATTTGCCAAACTCTGCACTGGTGAATTGTGTTCCGTTGTCCGAGACCAGGGTAACAGGTATCCCCAGTCGAGCGAAGAGTCCACGCAAGATGGTAATTGTGGATATCGATGTAATGCTGCGCGTTTTGACAATCTCAGGCCACTCGGTGAAGGACTCCAGTCTGGTGTGGAATCGTTTGATCTCCGGTTCGACTTGCTTAGATTGCGGCCAGCCGTTTTGGGTGCTTTACGCGACGACTCTAAAATTAAGGGGAAGAATATTAAGTGAATCCGCGACTACTGACCTGACATCTTCCTCCAGTGTAACGCTAGCAATGATGTAGTCCTCTTCTGGCTTCGCATGCTGGCTAATCAGTTGGGACAGTAGGTCGGCGTGGCCGAACTTCTCAGTCGGAACGTACTCGATGTCAAAATCGTACAGAATTAACGTGAGGGCAAAACGTTGCAACCGGTTAGCCGTATACACCGGGATACCTTTCTTGGAGCCGAAGATTCGAATCAATGGAGCGTGGTCGGTTTGAAGGCGGAAACGCCGACCGAAGATCATTTTGTGAAACTTCGTAACTGCGAAGATGATGGCTAGATCTTCTCTATCAGGCTGACTATAGTTATGCTCCGCCTTGGTGAGTGCTCTCGAGGCGTGCTGCATTCTCTTGATGGAGCCATCGGAGAACTTGTGCCTGATTGTGGCCCCGAGACCGACTGATGAAGCATCGGCGGACACAATGATCTCGTTCTTCGGATCGAAGTGTGTAAGCAGTGGGTCCGAAGTAAGAATCTGCTTGAATCGGTCGAATGTCTGTTGACACTCCGTATTCTAATCAAACTTCGATTCTGTTTTGAGGAGGTTATCGGGGGGATAGCAGAGCGCTCGCATATTAGACACGAACTTGCCATAATAGTTAATCGCGCCAAGGAAGGAGCGTACATCAGATACGGTACCAGAGATCAACCTTATTGAAGACAGTTCAATTGTTGAACCAAATTTGATCAAGGTGTATAAAAGGACGTAGGACGTGCTCCAATACAGCATCAGAAAGAAGTAAACACGACTATTTAACCCCATCAAACGAAGCTCGAAGCATGTTTCTACATACCGGATGCACAGCAGTTTGTCAATAGTCATCAAGGATGCCATCATCCGAAAGATCGTACGGTTCCAGCTTCTGATGGAACTCGGACGTGTTGCTCTCCAGGGGATGGATTCTGGAAAGCTTCTGCTCTACTAGCTACTGGTGATTCTACACCAGTACAGGTACAGTTCGAACAGACACAAGGAAGATACCATTCAGACATTGTGGTCCACATTCTGATGCAGATTGCACAATCGCAGATGCAGGATTATTCAATACTGGAGAAGTATATCAACATGATGAAACCAGACGAATTTAGGATTCACATGAAAAACAGGTTCCTTAATGAAGTAGATGAGCTTGCGGAATGTAATATGTAATAGCGATCTTTCGAATATTTTCCCGATTATTTACATTAATTTATAAAGAAAAACAAAACGAATGAAATTAATGACAGCAACAAAAAGCCTGTACTCGAACACAAAAGTGGTTATGCATATTAAACATAATTTTATACTAACTATGCATATCCCAATTTTACACTAAGTTCGTATTCTCACAGACCTATGCGTCGGTCAGGAGAGTTGCAATTTAGCGTAGCTTTTATACTATTTAGGATTGAATATTTTTTGAGTGTAAGTAGAACTCGTAGAATGAGTAAGTTTTTATCAAATAAAGGGTGTATTCGATAAAAATGGCACACACATATTTACTCACCAAAATTAAACCGATAATCGGATTTTCTTAAAATTTTCATGGATTGAAAAACTACTTATGAGTTATGATTTACAAAATTTGTTTTATTCAATTTCGTCTCCCATCCCAAATGCCCGCACCTTCCTTTTCACTCCACCCATCAAATTTTGTACAACCGATTTTCCCAGTGTTTTTGTTGTTTTCCCCCAAATTTTCTTCAACTCCAGCTCTTTTTTAATAGTTTTGGGATGTTTGCGAATTTCCGTCTTCATAATTGCTCAGAGTTTTTCAATTGGGCGAAGTCCCGGTGAATTTGGGGGGTTCATATATTTTGGCAAAACATTAACTCCGTTGGCTCGGTACCACTCCGCTACGTTTCGAATGTAGTGACAGGATGCTAGATCAGGCGAAAACACAGTTGATCCGCAGACAAACAGACATAACACTCGCAAGTTGTTCATCGAACAAGCATTTAACGGTCAATTTCAAAGTATCTTAGTTGGTAGTACCGCCGACTGTGGCGCGCATAGTCAATTCCCTTGCGTTTGACGTTTAGACACTACCACCATCTGTTCAGCGTACTACCCACCACAGTGTATTCAACAGATGGCGGTAATGTTTTAGCGACGATGTTTTACAGTGAGAAATATTCAATGTGTTATGTCTGTTTGTCTGTGGTTGATC